GCGGATCCGTTTCTGCAAAGCTTGAGCACAAGCATCACAATGCATTTGAACGTTCAAGACAACTGTTATTACAGGAGGACGCTGCCAGAGGAAAACACATATTTTACACTTTCATATTAATTCATTTAATAAAAAAATAATGATTGGCAAAAAAAAAGACATTTATGGTTGTGCACATTGTACATTAACTTGCAAAAAATATCATTTATATAATCTGCCCTTAAAAATAGCGATATCAATACTAATTTCATGTCCCAAATACGATCATGGTAAGAAAAGCCAACTATAATTTGCATTTTTGCGAATAATTACACTGGTAATTTGTCCTGCTAATTATAAGTGATTGCTCATATGATATTAATTAATTTACGTCATTCGCCAACCAGGCTTTCGATTGTCTTTGTTCACATTACAATTTTCACCGATAATGTTAAGCTTTAATTTTGTCTTGTGATTGTTATTATTCTTATATTGTGTGTGTATATATAGACAGCACATCTCATTATAAGATGTACTCATATCTCCAACAAAGGTCACGGTGAAGTTGTAAATAGTACTGCTTCATCTTGTAACACATATCTCGAGTTCGAGCTAACCTTAGGTATAAAACCGCCATTATTAAAGAAAGGTTCATTTCAATGTGAGATTTTTTTGATACGAATACATATTTAGTCGTGTTCCAATATAGAAATTGAACATTGAAGCCCAAATTCATTCAACCCGTCCAACCCGTCCAGAGATTAATGGGTTGGGCTATAAACATTGGGGTTGAACTCAATTTAACCCATTATTGTTAATAACCCATTCTGACCCATTAAGCAGCCCAAATACAACCCATGAAACTCACCCAAAACAAAGAAATTTCAACCCAACTTATCTAGAAATTTACTTAGTTGCCTAAATTTTACTCTTTTTTTTTTGCATTTTGAATTTTCTGTTTTTTTGTTTTTCTGCACCACCGACGCATCCACCCCTATCCCCTACCACCACCAACCCCCCTGCGCAAACCCTCTTAAAAATTTTTGTTTTACTTTTTTTTTCTATTTTCAACGTTCTGTTTATTTGTTTTTCTGCACCACCTCACCCCTATAAATGAGTCATTCCCCCCGCAAAATATTTTTTAACTTACATATTTAAGATAAAAGACTTTTTTTTGCAAGATGAACATGGTTCTAAAACATGGGTCAAGTTGGGCGGGTTGGGCTATGACTCATTGTTTAGCCCATCTTGACCCAACTCATCTTAGCTCAAGTACACTTTAGGCTGGGTTGGGCAATGACTCATTTATTGACTTAACCCATCTTGACCCGCCCAAATTCAACCCAACCTAACCCGCCCATTTGACACCCTTACTCATAGCGCTGGCTGGCAGAGCTTGCCAGTTTCAGTTTTAGCCTAATAATTAAGAGGACATGCAACAGCAAAACCTTGACTGACCCTTGACCTCTGGCTATATATTGCAAACTCAACTGTGGCTCAAACTTCTCCCCAGGTCCCCCATCTAAGCTTCATATAGTTAAATGTGCCCAGTGGCTACGTAGTTCAAATTCCAAAATATCCTTTTGCTAAGCTCAAACTTCTCCCCAGGTAACTTTTAGTTTATATTAAAATAAAATTATTCACTTTTTTTCCATCAACCTAAAAGATAAATTAAAAGACTAATCCCATAATTAATTGGTCATGCAAACAATTTTGTACCATTGAGACATCTAGGACTACATATTAATCAATTTTGAAAATTGAATTTCCAAGTTCAAGACTCAAACTTGATCACTCAGACAAACGATATGTTTGGAGGTAGAAAAGTAGATTTAAAGATTATGAGTTTGGATTTAAAAAGAAAACAAAGTCACTATTCAAGTAACAAATAATGAGACAAATAAATGATTATCCACAAGTATCACTAAAAGAAAGTAAGGATACGACGATATTTATTTAGTGACAGTTAAAATAACTGTCAAGAAAAAAAATGAAGTCCTCGATATTCATGACAAAATATCAATAAAAATAACGATATTTGTGATAAAAAGTAGTAAAAATAACAATATTTGTAACAAAATATAGTAAAAATAATGATATTTGTAACAAAATGTAGTAAAAATAACGACATTTGAATCAAAGTGTCGGAAAAATAATAAATTAATACTAGTAAGTAAATTACCTCATCTTTTTTCTCTTCTTTTTTTATAATTTCTTCCTTATTTTCTTCTTCGGGTGGCTTAGGTAAAGGTGAAATGAGTTCAACTTTTCGGCCACTTTTTCTTTGGACCCTTTCACACACTTTAAGAGGGTCTGCAGTTTTGCCTTTTACCACCACCTTACTGGCCTTGTAATCCGCCGTTACTTCCTCTGCTCCTATTATTTGCTCCAAGGCAATGTATGAAAAAAATAGTTAATTCATTCTTGAAATCTAAAAAAATCACTTATTTTGTACCACAAAAAAATGTCAAAAAATCACTTGTTTTGGACCGGAGGGAGTAATGACTTGTTTGAGAAAAAAATCTCCTAGAACCAATCAAAAGTATATATTATTTATTCTCTCCGTCTCAAATTATCTGTCATGGTTTTCTTGTACCCGCCTCTAAGAAAAATTAATTAGGATGAAATTTTGACTACTTTACCCTTATTATTGTCTTAATTTTTATCTTTTTTTCCTTGTATTTAAACAAAGTTATTCATTTGATGTGTTTGTCTACAATGATAATTATTACTCATGATAAAAAAAGGAAAAAAAAATCAATTTTGTATTTGAACTTCTAAAATGATAAATAAAGTGCCACAATTATTTTTAGTAACCACGACTAATAATATAAGACGGAGGAAGTAGTATTTTTTAAAACAATTGGTAACCTAGAGACTTCAATGGGATTTGAAAGATTTTGCCTTGAATTTAAGCAAATAGTCCAAATTTTGAAAACCAAAAGAATGCAATGAAATTAGAGGATAAAGAGACCTTGGAATCTTTTCAAGGATTTAGCAATTTTTCTAGCACAAGCTTCACAATGCATATCAACCTTTAAAACTATCTCTTCTTCCTTTTTTTCTTCCACTTTCTTCTCCTACATATAAATATTCAAAAAAATAATTAAAAAAAAAACATAGCTAGAATACCTACATTTAAATATAAATAGTGTTAATATAAAGAGTTTAAACTTAATTACCTCACCCATGTTAATATTCAAACAATGCTGATTTTCAATGAATTTTTAAATTCTGCAAATGAAAAACCTCTCTGTTGTTGTTTTACTGCTTTTGGTTGGGCAAAATGAGAAGAAAGCAAATTTAAGTAGAGGTGGACAGAGGCCACATAAATGGTGACATTGCAAATCTGACCTGGAATTTTTTAAATTGCATTAGTGGTCCATTTGCTGAGTCAGCATCTATTATTTGTCCTAGTTGTCTACTATCGGTCATTTACCTTTTCCGAAATCAGTGTTTGGCTATAAAATTTTCAGTTTTTCACTTGAAGATGAATTTTATAATTTTTTTAAAAAAATTTAAAAAACTTCAAAAAGTTATTTTTCAAAATTTTTACTCAGACCACTTACAAAAATTCAAAAATAGCCCTCAATTATATTTATGTTCAAACACAACTCTAATTTTTCAAATACTATTTTATGTTGGAAATTTTTTTCACTTTTTTTTGGAATTTTACAGTTCTTATGTCCAAACGCACCCTTATAAAAAGGAAGATTTTAATAACTCCATTTAAAAATTAAAGTTATAACTTATTTGACATATATAACTATTTAATTTAAAGAACTCAATTGAAAATTTGAATTTTGTGGGTTGGTTCAGTATAATCGTTAAGAAGGGTGTAATATTTTAAATAAACAAAACCATATCTGGGGATATGGAGAGTTATATAATTCAAAAGACCGTTGGGAGAATGTGGAGTCTCTTTTTGTTTTGAAAAAGCTAATAATTGTCAAATAAATAATACTCGGTCCGGTTCATCATAAGTGACTTTTTGGTATTTGACATATTCCTTAAAAAAATATTAATTTGTATAAAAAAATAAGTATTTTGACTTAATTACGCGTATTAAAATTTGTATAATGTTACATGTAAATAAGGCCAAATTAAAAAAATATAATTAATTCATTCTTGATTTTATATATATATATTTATTTTTATTTTTTTTGAGAGTTCCAAATGCATGCAGGTTATACCATAATAATTGCAAAAGAATATTGAGAGAACCCAAAAAGGCCAAGGAAATTCGTACACTTTAGATATGACAAAAGGATGATTACTTTTTGTATGCATAGAAAGATAAAATTTCTGAATTATTAGGTGAATGGGGCCAATGCATTTTCCAAAGGTCCCCTTTTCCAATTCCCTATATATGAGAATTATTAGGGGAGGCGGAAGGATTAAAATACTCCAAGAATAATTTAGGCATAATCAAAATCTTAATAAAGACTATATAAAAAAAAATTATTAAACTAGGGAGGGAACATGGTAGAAAGCTTTTTCATAACTCATAAACTCTTGAATCTCTCTACATCATAGCTATCTCCTCAGTCCTTACAATTGTAAATATGTAGTAGTATCTTTATTTATAATACTACAAAATGAAAATTGACTAGAATCTAGAAAAAATATTCCTACATGATTTTGGTTGTGAATGTTGGGATATATACTATTAACCATGGGTTTGGTTTGGATATAGTATTTATTATGGAATAATTGTTTATTCAATTTTAATAAAGTTTTAAATAGATCATATATTAGTATGTGTCCTTTGCTTATATAGTAGATGATTTAGTGTATAGAGTTTAGCTTATATACTGAAGATTAGATCATCGGTTCTTATAAGTATAAAGTTTAAGTTCACAATCTAATAATGAAATTGGACTAACCATCATGGATGATTGTAGCACAAGATTAAATATAATTTATCTTGATTATGGGAATGGTTTAATTCCAACTTCCTGTGCTAGTACATTTTGTATGTATTGAACGGACCAAGTAGAGATAAGTATTTTATACTGACTTAATAAAATAAATTCTCTAGTCATTAAATGTACTTATACTCTTAATCTTGATATAATTATTATTAGCTGTGTATATTATTATTGTTTTGATTTATTAAAAGGCGAGATTTTTTCATGGGTCAATATACTTGGTAAATTGGATAATAATAATGTATATTGGCGAAGTAATAGTTAGTTGATGGAATCCATGTCTCGGTTTAGAGATTGATAATACACCTTTATGAAAGCTTATAAGTTTTCATGTGTAAACCCGGCCAGTGAATTTTTTATCCGACACATGAAATAAGTTAAGCGAAAGTCTAAAGGAAATAATCAATAAATTAAATCGTCAATAATTTAATTTAATTGATTTAGTATTTGCATCGTAACATAGGAGTTAAATAAAATTTAATTGATGAATTTCGAAATTGTATAAAGAATGCAATTACGAATTTTTAATGGAATAATTCGTAATTAATTATGGTGGATATTAATTTCAAAAATTGTAAATTAATTTCATAATTGGAAAACTTGTTAATTAAATTATGTGGTCTCTACTGTGCCTAAATAATAGGAAATAAAGAAATCATTTTTCTTGTGGAAAAGAAAACCCAACAGGTTTTGGAAAAGGATTTTAACCCTTAAAACTTGTGCTATAAATACATAAGGTTTTCAAACTAGAGAAGGAAGAATATGGTGGCCGAAATTTTCAGCCATATTTTCCTAGAAATTTCACCCACACTAAATTATTTTCTCGGGTATTATTTAGGTAATACAGTAGAAGACTGTGGAACGTTCGGTGATCGTGATCATGCGGGTGGTGGAGAATTCATTCAGTTGCTGTAGAATTGAAGGCTCACATGATAAAAGAGTCGTATTCACGTTTCAAGAGGTAACCGTGAAATTCCGTTTATACTAATTGTCTAGATTAATGTGATTTTGATACTGGAATTGCTTCCGCTGCATATAATAACCCATCAGTGAATCCTAATTAGACATAAATTAAATAAACTAGTAAATAAAAAATCCTAGACGACGTAGGAATACTAATTAATGTTGGTTTAATTTCTAACAACCTCTATTAAACCAAAATATTCAAACTTGAGCTTGTCATGAGTAACATCAAGCCTTGTAGAAGTCAAGTACCTTAGACTCTCCATAAATTCCCTAAAATATATTGCATCAACAAAATCACGAGTATCATCCTTAGTTAACTTCAATTTCTCTTCAGTACTGGCTATATATGATTTGGATATAACCATGGTAAATCCCTTCAAAATATCATCAAAATAATTTTCCTTTACTTTGTAATCATCTACTTCTCCGGTTGCCTTGTAGTTGGACTTGTACACCAATTCAAATCCAATTTTTCATTCTATAGGATATAGAGTAATGCTACCAATAAATATTTCGTCGTGCTCCTTGAGTCATGCAATCTCGAACAATGGCACAAAATTTATTACATCTTCAATATCTATTGTCATACGTTGTTGTGGTTCCGAATCCCAAGCTATTTTTGCCTCAAACTTGGGTGGATCATTAGAAACATTCTCTTGATAAACCATTTTGCTTCTTTCATTACTTGGTTCATCTTCAATACCATCAAATAATTTTTCTTGTGAAATACCAACCTTTTTTGGACGGGAATCTTTTGCAACCGAATCATCCTTTTTAACAATCGCAGAAATTCTTGGCAGATCAATTTGAACATTATTTGACTTATCTTCAATTTCAATGGAATCTCTATCACAACAAAATTTACAGGTACCTACTCTTCTTTTCTCCTCTATTTTTCATTTTTGGTCGTCTTGATTTATTTCTGCCATTATTGGTGTGCCTTCTTTTCAAAATGCCCCAAGAATAACTTAGGCACAATCAAAAACTTCAACAAAGACATTTCTTGAATCTCCCTGCACTATAGTTACCTCCCCACAATAGAAAATATATAGTAGCACCCCTATTTATTATACTACAAAATCAAAATTGACTAGAATCTATAAAACCTATTCCTACATGATTTTGGTTGTGAATCCTAATTAGACATAAATTAAACGAAATAGTAAATAAAAAATCCTAGACGACGTAGGAATACTAATTAATCTTGGTTTAATTTCCAACAAAGGCAGAGGCGGATCCAGGATTCAAACTCTATGGATTCAACCTTTAAAGCTTTTATCATTAACTCATTATATTTTTAAAATTACGAGTTCATATATAATATTTGTTGCAATTTTAGTAGATATTTACGCATGAATTTATGCATTGCGGAGAAAATTATGGGTTCAGTTAAACCCAATATTAGAAGGCTTGATACGCCCTTGAGAGGAGAATCTTCAAAGCTAGAGAAGGGTGGATGGACATGGAAATACGAGGAAATGAATATTAATCCTAAAAACATTTCTTGTGTTTCATCCGCAATGATCCATCATAAGTTTAAGCTAAATTGTTTTCAAATTTAGAAAGAAATCATTCTTTTTGGAACGGACTAGAAAAGAAATAGGTTCATATAAACCAAAACGGAGGGAGTAATATTTTTTGATTTCGAACCCCGTCCGCCGAAAAATTACAGTATATATATATATATATAAGGTAAAATATTTTCTTTTACATTTATTATTATGTTTTGAATCCTCCAAAAGCATAACTTAGTGATCAAAGAGGTTTAAAACCTTTACAAGGTCGTTGATTCAATTCCCACTTATTGGAGTTAGCGTGATGGCCATTCATGAAGTGACACGTGTGGTGATAAAATGTTATCTCCATCGTCATATTTGGTCTTTGTTATAATAATGAGAAGAGTTTTTGAGGGTGATTGATTTATGATTGTGCCATCTTGTTTACAAGTTGACGCCTCCACTATTATTAGATGACTCACACTTATGGACTATATGTATTGCCTGAGAACGACATGAGAGTTAATAAAAGAAGACGTAAAGGGATATTTGTGTTTTGGCATGCACTTATTCTTGTATTTCTAATCCATCTAATACTCAAACCTCAGTTTTATTTGTTTAAAATACTTTTGGATATTATAGCGAATACTGTTATAGAAAACATATATTATAACATAATATAAAAGTTGTTTTCAAAAAGCTTGACTTTTATAGTGAGGTATTGTTATATATAACTATTGTTATAGAGAAGTCTGGCTGTATATTATCCACATTCTATTCGATATATATCCAATATCGGTATTAATTTTACAAAAAAAGAAAAATGAAAACTAAATAAAGTACTTTAATAACTACACCCGTCGTTCACTTTTGCTTGTCCACTATGGACTTTGCACATCTTTAAGAAAT